AGAGTACGGATTACATATTATCAAGTATATAACTATGAAGTCTCATCATCCTTGACGTTTTTTGTAGTCTGTCCTTTACAATAAGTGCAGAAGTACAACATTCTACATATTCTAAAATGCCTAAAATATTCTCTTCGTGGAGCTCACCGGGTCTGCAAAGCATGGCTCCTTTTGAAGAGGAGAGCACAGAGCACCATTAGTGGGCTTTAGTGACGTTAATAATTCAGAGAGGTGCCCTCCATCTTCTTTCAGATACACAGAAGGGTCCACTTTAATGTATAACAGGGCTGCAGAGAAGAGAGGAGTCAAGTCCCATGCCAGGGGATGGAAGCTAATTGTGAAAAGTTGCCCCACTACAGCTGCTGCCTTATGAAAAATATGAACTGTGGTTTAAGCAAACACTTCATCTTCTTGTAGGGATGTTAGATTCCCCACAGGGCTGACTAGGTCCCCCTCCCTCACCAGAGGCTGCATCTTATCTAACTAGCAGGTGTGAAAGTCAATTTCTTTTTTAATCAGGAAGCTACAGACGCAAGCTCATTTTGTGATTTAATCTTAACTTGTAGAAGCACTAATGATAATTAAAAATTATTCTAAAAATTAAAAAAAATCTTCACGCACATTTTTGATATGTTGTCATGAGCGTATTAAGACATTACAGATAAGTGGCTCCAAATATTTCCAGTACCTGAAAATTTTAAAAATGACATTTCTTCCTGAACTCAGCATTATGGTAGTAATAAAGAATCTGGAATTAAAGTATTTCTGGGGAAGAAATATTTCTCCCAGCAGACAAAGACTCAGAGGCAGCAGCGAGTCAGTGTATAATCAAGCCACAATCAGCGCTGGCTGGAAAATGTACATCAATGAGAGATGATACTTTTTGTCACAGTTAAGCATCTGTTGAGGGCCTATTAGATATCAGACAGTGCTATAGAGAACAGCCCGATTTGGCATCGTCATCGCAGTTAAATAATTTAAATAGAAAAAAAAAAGAAAGGAACCTCATCGTAATTGGGCAAAGGTAGGAAAATGACTCATATTTAGCTACATCATATGAATTAGTTCTGAGATTGCAGAAGCCATACAAAAGGATGGTTGGGTTTGTCATTAGGGTCTTTGGTTGCCAAGAGACTAAGATTTGGGGCTGTCTCTTGGAGTTATGAAATTTGATGTAGAGCAATGGTCCTCCAATAATGGTCAGAGGGGTCCTGACCATTAGAGGCCCTATTAGGACATCTAATACTAATTAGGACAAGTTCTTCACTTTCCAGCTAAATATCTGTGGGAAGCCAAATTTTCTTCACATAGTTCAACCAAAACAACATATCGCAACAGATCAGCAGAGGCAGATGTGAGAATCCATCTGTCTTCTGTTAAGCAGGAATTACAGTGATTTGCAAACATGCAAAAGATTGGTATTCTACTCACTAATTATTATTTTTTTTGAAGGAAAATAAAGTTATTTTTTCATAAAACTGTGCTATTTATGTTAACATATAATGGTTTTATTTTAAATAAATAAATTCTTTAAAAATTTCCCTCAGTTTGAATTTCTAATGGTGTGTATATGGAGAAATAAAATTCACATAAACACAAAGATTTTTGGGGTTCTCAGGTTTAAGAGTGTCAAGGGTCTTGAGATGAAGATTTTAAAAAGTTTGAGACCCACTGCTGTAGATGTTTAACTTATGAAAATGGAATCAGCCAACAGATAAAAATACAATGAAACATGTGCTGTTGCCCTTGCAAGAAGGACAAGAAACTTCTGGGAAATGGGAGGTTATTCAGAATGCATGTATTGCAGGGAAGTGTTTACTCTTAGATTGCCCTTAGCAACAGGAATTCATTAACCTTCCAACTCCCTTTATGATTTATTTTTAATTAATTTTTTAAGAATTGAAGTGCAGTTGATTTACAATATTGTGTTTCATGTGTACAGCAAAGTGATTCAGTTATATATATACTTTTTTTCAGATTATTTTCCATGGTAGCTTATCATAAGATATTGAATAGAGTTATCTGTGCTAGACAGTAAATCTTTATTGCTTATCTGTTATCTATTTTACATATAGTAGTTTGTATCTGTTAATCCCATACTCTTAATTTATCCCTCCCCTACTCCCTTTCCTCTTTGGTAACCATATGTTTGTTTTCTATGTCTGTGGGTCTATTTCTGTTTTGTAAATAAGTTCATTTGTATCTTTATTTTTTTTAGAATCTACATATAAGCCATTTTGTATATTTGTCTTTCTCTGTCTGACTTCACTTTGTATGATAATCTCTAGGTCCATCCATGTTGTTGCAAATAGCATTATTTCATTCTTTTTTATGACTAATATTCCAGTATATATGTATATATATATATATATATATATATATGTATATGTCACATTGTCTTAAACCAGTCATCTGTTGATGGGCACCTCGGTTGCTTCCATGTCTTGGCTATTGTAGATAGTGCTGCCATGAACATTGGGGTGCATGTATCTTTTCAAATTAGAGTTTTCATCTTTTTTGATGATTGTGTCTTCGCTCTCCTTCATTATGATTTTCATTGCTCTTTCTACTTCCAATACAGACACTATATAATTTATTGTTTAAACTAGAACTCTCTTAAAGTAAAGGGAGGTTTTATTAATATGGCAGGGCAACAGGCTGACCTGGCTGCTCTGTTTCTTATCCTGTTCAATAACTACCCTCCAAGAGAGGAATTGCTGAATCAAAGGATATGAAAACTCTTCTAGATCCTGTTCACTAACAGCTGTATTAGAGATGTGATTACATTAGGCAAGACATGATTAGATTTCAGTAGTGCGTTTCTGTATTTGATCTCTAAAACATTTTGTTGTTTAAAGTTGAGCTCTGAAATTAGATAATCTCATTCAGATGGCAGGCAGTAGGTTCGCTGGTTGAACTCAAAGAGGATAACTGTAGTAATGTGAAATTTGGCACGTGGTTTCATGCCATCATCTTGCCCCGGAAGAGTAAGTTCACTTGATAAGATTTGAGGCCTAGACTTTGATCCTGCTTGTGGGCGGGGACTGTGCCCCAGGCACTATAAAAAGCCAGATTGTCAGAGCTCCCACTCACTTCACCAAGAAGCCTGGAGAGGTAAAAGTGCAGACTTCAGAGCTTCAGGGCATCAGCTGAAAGTCCCCAAATCAATGTAAGCAATCATTTCTGTCTGGGTTGTTTCCTCTATCCCATTTCTCTCTCATTAGCTATAATTATCTTTTGAATACCCAGGAGTGGAATTGCTGGATCATATGGTAGTTTTATTTTTAATTGTTTGAGGAACCTCCATACTGTTTTCCATAATGGCTGCACCAATTTACATTCCCACGAACAGTGCACAAGTGTTCCCTTTTCTCCACACCCTCACCAACATTTGTTGTTTGTAGATTATTTATTTATTACTGTAGGTCCTTGTTGGTTATCTATTTTAAATACAGCAGTGTGTACATGTCAATACCAAACTCCCAATCTATCTCACCCCCCCAATCCATTCCCCTTTGGTAACCATAAGTTCATTCTCTAAATCTTTGAATCTGCTTCTGTTTTGTAAGTAAGTTCATTTGTATCATTTTTTTTTTTTTAGATTCCACATATAAGCAATATCATATGATGTCTGTCTTTCTCTGTCTGACTTACTTCACTTAGTATGATAATCTCCAGGTCCATCCATGTTGCTGCAAATGGCATTATTTCATTCTTTACAATAGCTGAGTAATATTCCACTGTATATATGTACCACATCTTCTTTATCCATTCATCTGCTGATGGACATTTAGGTTGCTCGCATGCCTTGGCTACTGTAAACAGTGCTGCAATGAACATTGGGGTACATGTATCCTTGTGAACCATGCTTTTCTCTGAATATGTGCCTAGGGGTGGGATTGCTGGATAATATGGTAGCTCTATTTTTAATTTTTTAAGGAACCTACATAGTGTTCTCCATAGTGGCTGTACCATGTTTGTGGATTTTTTGATGATTGCCATTTGAACAGGTGTGAGGTGATATTGTGGTTTTGATTTGCATTTCCCTGATGATTAGCAATGTTGAGCATATTTTCATGTGCCTGTTGGTCATTTTTATGTCTTCTTTGGAAAAATGTCTATTCAGATCCTCTGCCCACTTTTTTTTTTTTTTTTTTGCGGTACGTGGGCCTCTCACTGTTGTGGCCTCTCCCATTGCGGAGCACAGGCTCGAGACGTGCAGGCTCAGCGGCCATGGCTCACGGGTCCAGCCGCTCCGCGGCATGTGGGATCTTCTCGGACCGGGGCATGAACCCGTGTCCCCTGCATCGGCAGGCGGACTGTCAACCACTGCGCCACCAGGGGAGCCCCTCTGCCCATTTTTTAAACTGGGTTTTTCGTTTGTTTGTTTTGATGTTGAGTTGTATGAGTTCTTTGTATGTTTTGGATGTTAACCCCTTATCAGATACATTCAATGCCTTCTCCCATTCAGTAGGTGGCCCTTTCTTTTTTTAATGATTGTATTTAAGTGTGGAAATTCTTTTTCTTCAACTGCAAGTGACTTACAAAGTAATGCTGTTTAGGGGGTAAAGACTGTGCTCCTGGTTCCTGTTAAAGACCCAGATGGGGAAAAAAAAAAAAAAAAGACCCAGTTTGGCTCACCTCCTATGGGGAGAAGCTGTGGTCAGAGCAGACAAGACTTCACCCAGAAGTCTACAGACAAGGTAAGCTGTCCCCCATGAAAAGACAATGTCCAACTGTCCTATTTCTCTTTCTTGTGATCACTTAAATTTTGGATAGTTTTCCTCACAGACAGTGCCTTTGCTATGATTCTCTGTTGACTTAGTGTCACTTTCATGTCTAAGCTACAGAAAGATTTACATTATTTAATTTTTGTATTGGATTTAGGTACATCCTGACTATTGAAGAGTAGATCAGGTACTGAAGGCTCCCGATTGCTCCCAGAAGCTACTAAAGGGCCACTTCAGATCAATTCTGCTAAAGAGTGAACTTCAGGGACCATGGCCAACCGTCTGCAAGAGGAGGCAGCCTGTCCAGTCTGTCAGGAGGTTTTCCTCAACCCCATTGCTCTCTCCTGTGCCCACACTTTCTGCTTTCATTGCATGCAAACTTGGATGGAAGAACAGAAGGATCTGAAATTGATCTGTCCCGTATGTCGAGGCGTCAGTGAGAATCCTCCTTTGGAGGAATGGCAAGTTGGAGAACTGATTCTTCTCATCACACAGCACAGTTCCCAACTGGAGCAGGGTCTGCATGTGAATGACGAGTACCTGAAGTTCTGGGAGGACATAACTCTGGATGCAGCCACCGCCAACCCCTTTCTTGTCCTCTCTGATGACCTAAGGAGTGTCCAGTGTGGGAAGATCTGCCAGAACCTGATGGAAGATCCCCAGAGATTTGCATACTGGGCTTGTATCCTGGGCACTCCGTGCTTCTCCTCTGGCTGTCATTACTGGGTGGTAGAAGTGGGAGAGGGGAATGAGTGGGCTCTGGGCGTCTGCAAAATATCGGTTGACAGGAAGAGGAAGAG